TTAAGTTCCTCTTTAATTTCTACATCTTTTTTTTCTAGTACTGAAGATTGAACATAGGGCCAAGAAAGTGCTCTACTACTAAGCTGCATCTCCAGCCCTTTTTGTTTTATTTTATTTATTTATTTTTTTTTTAATTTTTTTTTTTAAAGAGAGAGTTTTTTTAGAGGGAGAGAGAGAATTTTTAATATTTATTTTTTAGTTATCGGCGGACACAACATCGTTGTTTGCATGTGGTGCTGAGGATCGAACCCGGGCCGCACACATGCCAGACGAGCGCGCTACAGCTTGAGCCACATCCCCAGCCCCCTTTTTGTTTTATTTTGAGATGGGGTCTTGCCGAGTTTCCCAAGCCAGCTTCAAAATTTTTGATCCTCTTGCCTCAACCTTTTATATAGCTGGGATTACCAGTGTATACATGCCCTGAGCTTTCTGGATCTTTATTTATGGAAAATTATTGGGCATATATGAAGAGAATGACAAATACTATCAATTTGTTTCTAGATTTGATGAGGCGCCAAGAAGAACTTCGAAGAATGGAAGAGCTGCACAACCAAGAGGTGCAAAAAAGAAAGCAACTGGAGCTCAGGTAACTGCTTTTCTCAAACATCCCTACCACCCTTCCACCCCTGCACGCTTTTTTTTTTTTAATAGTTTCTTAGTTGTCAATGGACTTTATTTTATTTATTTGTATGTGATGCTGAGAATCGAATGCCGAGCCTCACACAAGCTAGGCAAATGCTCTACCACTTAGCTAAAACCCCAGCCCTCCTTTTTTTAAATGAGTTAACTCATTGCTTCCTTACCAGTGTGTTATATCATACCTTTGTAAATTTATTAGCAAATATCTCCTGGGTGCTTCTCTGGTTCTCCAGATATGGGAGATGTTTAGCTGTCTGTGGTTCTAGGAATTTCCTGGGGCCGTGATAAAGAGAGAGCAGCTAAGTACTGTTCTCTAGGTAATTCTGTGGATGTTGCCTTAGTTCCTGATGGGCTATGATAGTTTCAGCAGACTGATCTGCTTGGCTCAGTCTCCAATTTGCTAAAGTCCTGGAATGCTTGTATCTTAAAAACTTTGGTGACTCTATAGGCAGGAAGAGGAGCGTAGGCGCCGCGAGGAAGAAATGCGGCGGCAACAAGAAGAGATGATGCGGCGACAGCAGGAAGGATTCAAGGGGACCTTCCCTGATGCGGTATATGTCCCATGTACCCGTGATACACCAGGCCAGTTGTGATATCATAAATCCACCATGAACTGTTCACTATGACTCCAAGTTATGACCAGTTTTTCTATGCTATGAAACTTATTCTAGAAAAAGAATTTAGGAAAGAGAGTTAAGGTTTGAAGTGGAGCTTATCTTTTTCTCATGGGCAATTTGGGATGGAAAGCTGTTTAGACTTAGTGACTGTAAGATGAGACATTGCTATCCTTATAGTTGTACAAGTTGGAGTGCCAGAAGAAATTAAATATCCCCCCTTTTTAAATTTTTTTAAATATCTTTGTTTATTTTTTATGTCGTGCTGAGGATCGAATCCAGGGCCTCTTAGTGCTAGGCGAGTGCTCTACTGCTGAGCCTCAACCCCAACCCTTCCCCCCCTTTTTTTGTGGTGCTGAGATTGAACCCAGGGCCTTGTGCATGCAAGGCAAGCACTAAACCAACTGAGCTATATCCCCAGCACCCCCCCTTTTTTTCTCCCCGCTTTCTGTTCCTCCTCTGGTCTCATTGATGTGTTATCACTTCCCTTAGTGAGTGATCCTCAGTGGATGGTGGTAAAATGCATTGCTGCCTTGAACTCAAGATTTTTTTTTTTTTTCAGAGAGAGCAAGAGATAAGGATGGGCCAGATGGCTATGGGAGGTAAGGAATTAAGGGGTTAATCAATGGATCTGATTTCCTTTTCCATTTTTGTTTGGTATCTGATGAAGTATGTAGCTTTTCCTACTGCAGATTTAAAAGCCTGACATTTATAGAAACAACATGTTCTTGGGGGTTGACATCTAATCCAGAGGTCTTGTTAAATTATTTCCTTTGGTATAGAAAGAAACTGTCAATCTCTATTCCCTGTACTGATCACACAACTCTGCTTTAGGTGCTATGGGCATAAATAACAGAGGCGCCATGCCCCCTGCTCCTGTGCCAGCTGGTACCCCAGCTCCTCCAGGACCTGCCACTATGATGCCGGATGGAACTTTGGGCCTGGTAATAAACTATAGGGTTTTAGTAGTAGTTTCCAAATGGTAGGAGGAAGAGGAAAAAGGGCTTTACCTTCATTGCCTTGGGACCTATCTGAGTTTTGGTATAGGTATCCATCAGACTAAGACTACTGATAAACTTGAAATGTAACTTTAATTTTTTTTTTTTTTGTAGTGCTGGGGATTGAACCCAGGTCCTTGTGCATGCAAGGCAGACACTCTGTCAACTGAGAATTTTTTTTACTTATAGATGGACACAATACCATTTATTTATTTGTTTGTTTATTTATTTATTCATTCATTCATTTATATGTGGTGCTGAGGATCAAACCCAGTGCCTCACATGTGGTAGGCAAATGTTCTACCACTGAGCTACAACCCCAGCCCCCATTTTAAAGGTTTTCTTTTTTCTTTTTTGTGATGCTGGGGATGGAACCCAGTGTCTTCCATGCTAGGCAAGCACTCTATCACTGAGCTACATTGCCAGCCCTAATGTCTTTATTTTTTAATCTTGAAAAAACTCAGTTATCAAACTGTATTTTTATGTCAGAGTTAAGACAGCTGACCTCTGTCTGATTGGTCAGGCTGTTTAGTTGCTGTCTTGGGTGAACAGGTAGATTTTGGGAGCAAGTCAAATAAAGGGTGTACATTATAATATGAAATAGATGTGAATCTTCCCAGCTACTCATACTGAGGCAAGAGGATTGGAAGTTCCAGACCAATCTGGGCAACTTAGTGACAGGAGCCTATCTCAAAAAATTAAAAGGGCTGGGGATGTGGATCAGTGGTAAATCCTGGGTTTAATCCCCTGTACCACAAAAATTTAAAAAATGAATCTAAAGGTTTCATGGCTTATAGAGTTCAGAGCTTGTTTTGGGTCTGTTGCCATAATAGTGCCCAAACTGGATAGCCTCAAGGTTGCTGGATATGGCCCTTATCTACATACATACCTCAGGAAAAAAGACTTGGCTAGAACTTACCTAGCTTAGGAAGTTAGTATGTACTATTGCTTGTTCAGTAATGAGGAATATGGATAAATTATAAAGGTATCATTTTGGGGTGGCTCTCTAATTCAGACATCTTCTCAGGGTTGTCCACTATAATTCTAGATAGCCTTGGTCACCCATAACCAGCATTAGGAGCCTTGAATAATTGAGCGGAAATGGCCTACAGTACAAAGGTTATAGATGGGTGGGAACCCCAGGACAATGGTTATATTGTAATGTGCTTTCTTTTTCTCTTTGAAGACCCCACCAACAACTGAACGCTTTGGCCAAGCTGCCACAATGGAAGGAATTGGGGCAATTGGTGGAACCCCTCCTGCATTCAACCGTGCCGCTCCTGGAGCTGAATTTGCTCCAAACAAACGTCGCCGATACTAATAAAGTTGCATTGTCTAGTTTCCCAAAACCCTTAAAAGAAGGGACCCTTTTTGGACTAGCCAGAATTCTACCCTGGAAAAGTGTTAGGGATTCTTCCCAATAGTTAGGTCTTCCCTGCCTGTACTACTCTAGGGAGTATGCTGGAGGCAGAGGGCAAGGGAGGGGTGGTATTTAACAAATCAGTTCTGTGTGGCATATTGTTTAATTGATTCTGTGTGGTGCATTCCTGAAATCTCAAATGTGATTGTTGAGGGCTGGTGAACCATAGCCAAATGGATCCAGTTAGAGCCCTATTAATCTTGATCATTCCGTTGTATTTTTTTTCATCATGTTTTATTTGCTTTCTTGTCCTTATACCCCTCAATCCTAGAGACACTGCCACATATACCACAAAGACAAAACATCCCCCAATGACCTTAGCCCCATTGCTCCATTCACTCCCAGGTGAGAATTCAGGCAAATGTCCACAGAGGTCACAGACAACATACATAACAGTTCTGTTATATCCCATATATTACCCTTTCATGTCCTAAGGAAGACATTGTCTCTTAGAACTTTTCATTTTAGTATATCTTTAAAAAAAAATTCTTGTGTTAACTTGCCTCCATCTTTTTCATGGGTAAAGACAACCCAAGAATTGACCCTTCTGTGTCTATGATGTTGCTATTCACAGCTYTTCTTGATAGGCCTAGTACAATCTTGGGAACAGGGTTGCTGTATGCTGATGGTCTGACAGTAGCTCTTAGCCTTGCCTATCTTAGGTAGTTATGCTGTGCATWTTTTATTGGTGTACCATGTTTGATTTGTTCCTGATACCTTAAATTTGGAGTTTTCTGAGAAATGGAGCAGTAATGCAGCATCAACTTATTAAAATACATTTTAAGCCTTTTAATTTTCTGTGCTATTTTTGAAGGGGAGGGATGGGTGGTGGGAATTTCCCCTCAGGAGTTCAGCAGTAGACTGTAAGGATAATCCTTTATGGCCCTTTTGATTGAACTAATAATCATCATTCTAGACAAACATGGGGAGGAGATGGGGTGAGAAGCATACTATTGTGGTTAGAAATGATCAGAGCTGTTAACACTACACATAAGTAATGTGGTTGCCAGGGTAGCTTCTTTAAAAGAGGAAGAAAATGGGCTGGAAGAAACCCTCATTGAGTTGGGGTGGGGTCTCAGTTGGTATATATTTCTGAGCAGCTGCTAGTATGTAAGAGGCTTGGAATTGGCAACATCTAAAACTGTCTTAGCAGTGCTTAGCTGACCTCACCCAAGTTCCAAGTACTACTTTGCCTGATCCTTTTTTCCTGAGCCTCAGGGCTAAAATGCTCCTGTGCTCTTTCCTATTGGCTACGGAGACCAATTGAAGTTCCCTTGCCCATGTTAGGAGGTGTCCGCCTCCTGAACTAAAGATAGAAACAGCTGGCCCTTTCAGGCAGCTAAAAGCCTCCGGACTAAGAGGTGTTCCCCACACGACAGCCAGACTCCTTGAAATACCCTTTCAGTTATTCTGCCAACGCCTCCATGTCTCTGCTCTGCCATAACAAAGGCTGTGGGCAACAGTTTGACCCCAATACCAACCTCTCTGGTGAGTAAATCCTGACCTGGCTGGGGGCTATGGGTATTAGGGGAATGGTTTACTTAAGACTGTTGAGCATGGTGGGATAATGTACTTCATGTACTTCTGGCTATTTAATTGGGCTGAGTGATCTTAAACCTTTGCTGATTTATTCTTTTACAAGAAAAGAAAACCCAGAGGAAAGGGTCAAGTGATATTTGGTATAGTTATCTTTCCTATCTTGATCTTTCTACTGGTATCCGTAGATTCCTGTCGCTATCATCCTGGGGTCCCAATCTTCCATGATGCACTAAAGGTGAGCAGTAGGTGAGGTGGGGTAACAAGAACATTTCCCAAAGGAAGTATACCCAGGAATCAAAGCTGATCTGGGTCTCTCGTTACCAGGGATGGTCCTGTTGCCGAAAGCGAACTGTAGATTTCTCAGAGTTTTTAAACATCAAGGTAAATCCCTTATTTCCTATAGACAGACACAATATTTTATTTATTTTTATGTGGTGCTAAGGATTGAACCCAGTGCCTCGTGTGCAAGGCAAGCACTGTACCACTAAACTAAAACCCCAGCCCTCTATTTCTAATCTTTATCTCTTTATCTATACTAGGGCTGTACTATGGGACCGCATTGTGCTGAGAAGCTTCCTGAGGCCCCTCAGCCTGAGGGCCCTGCTACAAGTTCACTTCAGGAACAAAGACCTCTGAATACAATTCCAAAGTCAGAAGAGACCTTGCTCAGAGAGAGGCCCAAGTAAAGAGAAGGCTCCTGGGTTTTTCCTATATTCATGTAGCTTTCTACGAGTAATTACTGGGTCATTTGGGTTTGGTAACTAAGGATCAAAGAGATAAGAAGGGTCAGGTGTCAGGGTTGGATGGTATATATTCTGTGCCTTGGAGGAAATTTCTGTTGTGTTGTCCTTTTGCTCTAAGGATGAGGGATAGATATCTTCCTCTTACACACAAATATATACTTAGTTTAACACAAGGAAGACTGTTGAGAATGGCTTGATTTCTTTTTCTTTCTAGAAAATAGCTATAAGATAAACCATCAAGAAAAGGAAGTAGTATCGGTAGCCAGGAGGCTGCAGAAAATAGCAACAGAAGAAAGTCATCAGGTTCTGAATTAGATAAAGAGGAAGATGAACTGGTGTAGTTCTGTAGAGAAATGTAATTAGAGCAACTAAGTAGATGGATGAGAGCAGCCCTAAGGATTTTTCTGGGTTTGGGGATTTGGGTGTGCACATTGGAAATGAGGTGCTACCCAACTTCTCCAAGCCTGCTTTTCAGTAGACTTTGACTATTTCCATGTGTGGGAGTATTGGAGCTGGCAGTCATGATTCATGGCTCAGAACTAAATAACCTGCCTATAACCACTAGGTCAGAGTTACCTCCAAAGTTACTGCCACTAAATGTATCTCAAGCCTTGGAAATGGCATTGGAACAAAAGGAACTAGACCAAGAACCTGGGGCAGGTAGGTTGAATCTTAGTAGGTCAAACTTCACCAAGTAGAATTTGTCAGAAATAGCACAAAGGTTGGGGAAATTAACGGGTTCCTGACTGTTTCTCTTGCCCAGGACTTGATAGTAGTCTGATCCGGACTGGTTCCAGCTGCCAGAACCCAGGATGTGATGCTGTGAGTGAGAGTTTTGGGGGGCGCAAGCATGTGGATGAGAGATGCTATACCAGAGGCATAGGTGGGAATAAACATGAGACAGAGTGGGGTAAACCTTAGAATGACCTGATTCTGTTCCTGATTCTCCTTTATCTTTGTTAGGTTTACCAAGGCCCTGAGAGTGATGCTACTCCATGTACCTACCACCCAGGAGCACCTCGATTCCATGAGGGGTGAGGGAGGGTCCTAGGTGGTCTATAAGACGGGTTTCTCCCAATATTGATGGTAACATTGGGAGCTTGGTGTGGAAATTTAGTTGAATTATCTTTCTATCTCAGGATGAAGTCTTGGAGCTGTTGTGGCATCCAGACTCTGGATTTTGGGGCATTCTTGGCACAGCCAGGATGCAGAGTTGGTAGACATGACTGGGGGAAGCAGGTAAGCAAGTCCCAGATTTCCTAAACTCTTGATTAAAGCCCAATACCAGGGCTGGGGATATAGTGCAGTTCGTAGAGTGCTTGTCTTGCATGCATAAGGCCCTGGGTTCACCCCCCAGCAACACATAAACACTAAAAAAGATAAGACCCAATACCAAAATAAGCTCTCTTTTTGTACCTCAGGGCCAAACTCTCTTCCTTTAATTCAGACCAAATAAGATGCTGCTCCTGGGCTGAGGATGTGACTCCATGGTAGAGTGCTTGTCTAGAATGTTAAGAGGCCCTGGGTTCGATCCCCAGTATTGAAAAAAACATCCTTATCCCTCTATAACTCAGATGCATTGCTTCATTAAGCATTGTTAGTCTTTCTGAGACTCTGCTGCACATACCCCACGAGAACGTCACTTGGGCCTTTGGGTTAAGAGTTTATTTTTACCATCTACTATTCACATCTTCTCTTTAGCTGCCAGCATCTTGCCGTCATGATTGGCACCAGACAGATTCTTTAGTAGTGGTGACTGTGTATGGCCAGATTCCACTTCCTGCATTCAACTGGGTGAAGGCCAGCCAAACTGAGGTGAGGAATGGTCTGGTGGAGGATGGGAGGCTGGTGAATTGGGTGATATTATACTATTATAGGCAGAGATTCTATATGCAGTTAACTTACAGGCTCCATAGTTCCCTGAGAGGAAGAGAGAACTTTTAGGTCAGAGTCATATCATACATACCTCTGGCCTGATTCTCTGCGATAATGACTTATTCTGCCCTTCTTTGATTGTTACTACCCTTGTAATTCTTTTCTCTCAGCTTCATATCCACATTGTCTTTGATGGTAACCGTGTGTTCCAAGCACAGATGAAGCTCTGGGGGGTAAGTCAAGAGAAGGGGATAAAGGTTGAGGAAGCAGATGGGGTAAAAGAAGGACCAGATGGAATGAAAAAAGGGTATCCTGAGGGAAGGAGTTGTAGTGGGAAAGTGGAGATTTTCTCTTCATTTGCTTTCACATTCCTTCTCTTTTCCCTCCATTTCCTTTTCCCTCTCTTTTTCCTTGCCCTCTCCTTCCTTTTCCCTTCTTCTGTTTCTCTCCTCTCTCTCACCCTTTTTCATTTTTCTTTCATTAATCACCACTCTACCCCAATCCTTTTGGTTTCCTCATTCTCTCTTTTTTCTATGTTCCTCTGTATCTTTCCCTCCTTCTTAGGTCATAAACGTGGAGCAGAGCTCTGTCTCCTTGATGCCATCTCGGGTTGAAATCTCCCTGGTCAAGGCTGACCCAGGATCCTGGGCCCAGCTGGAGCACCCTGATGCACTAGCTGAGAAGGCTAGGGCAGGGGTTGTATTAGAGATGGATGAGGAAGAATCTGAGGATTCAGATGATGATCTGAGCTGGACAGAGGAGGAGGAAGAGGAAGCGATGGGGGAATAGTGACACAAGAAGTTGAGTATCTAGTTAGGACCTCAGTGACTCCCTTAGAATCTGAGACCAGAATATGGTTGACATTTGTCATTGAGCAGCAGGAGGCTGAAGATGGGGAGAACAAAACTGTCCAAAACATGCTGTTTTTTCCCTTAAATAAATCTTGTATTCTGCAGTTTCACATAGTGTCATTCTCTCACCTCACTATGTAAGATCATATTCATTCCCACAGCTTCTCTGTGCGTTCGATACATGTGTGTAAAAACAAGCACGTGCACATTCATTCTATTTTTCACAACCATCAGATATTTACTTAGTACTTCCTGTATGCTCAGTTATGTATTGGGTAGTTCAGAGATATCTGAGAAACAGAAGACTTACACATTCAGAAAATTATAGTTTGGTGCTGGAACTGTAGCTCAGGGTTAAAAGTGCTTGCCTAGCATGTGCAAGGCCCTGGTTTCAGTTGCTAGTACTCATCAAAATAAGCAAAGAAAATTTACAATCTGGCTGACAAATGAAGGCTGATCTATAGGAAATAATAATAAACATTATCAGGTAGTGTAACAGTGCTAAATTGTGTAATGTAGTATGTGTTTTTCTTTTTTTTCCATTTTTTTTGTAGTTATTTTCAAGAGCTTACAGGAATTGAAAGAATGGAATTGTTAATGTGGATTGTAATAAAATGGGTAGGTTGCATGGCAGAAGTACATTTTGTACAGTTTTGTAGTGCTGGGGATCAAGACATGCTAGGCAAAGGTACTACCACTGAGCTACATCCCCATCCTTACAGTTTTATTGAGATACAGTTCATAGACGACACAATAAATGTGTGTAAAATCTAAATTTTAGTGTTAGTTTTAGTATACTCACAGAGATGTACAACCACAATTTTAGGACATTAGTATTACTCCTCAAAGAAATAGTAATTCTCAATTTCTCCCCAAATGCAGAATAATAGGCAACAAATAATTTACTTTCTGGTGTGATTTACTTATTCTGGACATGTCACATACAGTATTTGGTCTTTTGTGACTGGTTCTTTAACTTAGCATGATGCTTTTGAAGTTTGTCCATGTATTGGCATATATCAGCATTTTATTTCTTTTTATGTCCAAAAAGTATTCCATTGTGTGGATTTATCACATTTTATTTATCTGTTCATCAGCTGAAGGATGTTTAGGTAGTTCCCACTTTTAGAATATTATAAGTAATGCTAGTGTAAACGTTGGTGTACAAGTTATTCTGTAAACATGTTTTCATTTCTCTTGGAGTATATCTGAGCCAAATTTTAACACAAGAGCCAGGCATCTCGGTGCATGCCTACATTCCCAGTTACTGGGAGGCATAGAGGACCACAAATTTGAGGCCAGCCCAGGCAACTTTTGAGTCTCAAAAATAAAATTGAAACCAGGCTCAGTGGCTCACACCTCTAATCCCAGTGATGATGGAGGCTGAGGAAGGAGAATTGTAATTTTGAGGCCAGCCTCAGGAATTTAGCAAGACCCTGAAAAAATAAAAAGGACTGGGGATGTGGCTAAGTACTTAAGCAACTTTGGGTTCAATCCCTAGTGCTATGGATGTAGCTCAGTGATAGTGTTTATCTAGCATGTGTTAGACCCTGCCCCAGCACCACAAAAATAGTTAAAATGTTGAGGAACAGCCATACTGTTTCTAAATAGGTTGTACCACTTCACATTTCTACCAGCAGCATAAGAGGGTTCCACATGCTCACCAACGCTTGTTATTATCTTTTTTACTATAAACATACTAGTGGGTCTGAAGTGGTATCTATGATTTTGGTTCACATTACCTTAATGATGATGTTGAGTAGTTTTACATGTGTTTATTGGCCATTTGTATATCTTATTTGGAGAAATAACTGTTCAAATCCTTTACCAATTTGTTAATTGGATTGTCTTTATTGTGAGTTGCAAGTGTTCTTTATTCTAGAGACAAGTCCCTTGTCTGGAATGATTCATAAATATCCTCTCCCATTTTGTGGGTTGTCTTTCTACTTTATTTATGCTATCCATTGATACATGTAAGTTCAGTTTTTTGAAATCCAAAGTTACATATTTTTCTTAGATTGCTTTTGCTTTTGATGTCATATCGAAGAAACAATTACCCAATACAAGATCATGAAGATTTGCCCCCATATTTCCTTCTAAGAATTTTATAGTTTTAATTTTTACATTTAATTGTTTGATCTATTTTATTTGGTGTGAGGTAAGGATTCAACATTAACCTTTTGTAGTGGATGTCCAGTTGTTCTAGCACCGTTAACAATTAGGAAGACTATAGTTATTTCCTCATTTAATTATCTTGGCACCCTACTTCAGAATTCATTGATCATAAATGTGAGGTTTCAGAGATATATTTTGAATGGATATTTGGAGAATGAGAAATTGGTAAGGGTATGTGAGAGTAGGGAAAGGCAGACTGGGACAGGTGTTTGTGTGTTTTATTGTAATTTCCAAAAATAATACATTGTTACTTAAAACAGAAAAAAAAAACCCCAATCTAGAAATGTGTAGGGTAAAAAGTAAATATTTCCCTTAAGATTTTCACCAAATATAGTTTTTTGGCTGTTTTTTGCCCTACAAATATATATTAGAAAAATATATTTGAGGGAGAGGAAGAAAAAGTACAATGTGGCTAGATTGAGAAGATACTAAAATTATAGATCAAGTTCCCCACCCCCCTTAATACTAAGGATTGAACCCAGAGAGCTTAACCACTGAGCCACAACAATTTTTATTTTGAGACGGGTCTCAAAATAAAAATTGCATAGAGCCTTCCTTAGTTGTTAAGGTTGGCCTTAAACTTGGCCTTAATCCTCCTGCCTCAGGCTCCCAAGCTGCTGGAATTATAGGCTTGTGCCACCACATGCAGCCAGGTCAAAGTTTCTTTTTTTGTTTTGTTTTTGTTGATGGACCTTTTGTTTTGTTTTGTTTTTGTTTTTGTTGATGGACCTTTATTTAATTTACTTATATGCAGTGCTGAAAATCAAACCCAGTGCCTCACACATGCTAGGCAAACACTCTACCACTGAGCTACAACCCCAGCCCCCAGGTCAAAGTTTTATTTAACATGATTTAAAAGAAAGGGGGCTGGGGATGTGGCTCAAGCGGTAGCGCGCTCGCCTGGCGTGCGTGCGGCCCAGGTTCGATCCTCAGCACCACATACAAACAAAGATGTTGTGTCCGCCGAAAACTAAAAAATAAATATTAAAATTCTCT